TGGTTATTATACAACCATTGACATTTGTGCAACCAATACATTCAATCTCAACCGTTCATTTCATTTTATTAATATGTAATTTCATAGAAATTTTGATTGTTTCCTAATATAAAGTATTGATAATAATTAATGAACCATATTCATTTTCCATAAATATTCAAATCATAATAAATGAATTCTCATCATTTTCATAAATATCTCAATTTATAACCAATACAACTCAATCTCAACCGTCCATTTAATTTGATGAATATGTAATTTCATAGAAGTTTTGATTGTTTTCTAATATAACGTATTGATCATAATTAATGAACCTTATTCATTTTCAATAAATATTTAAATCATAATAAATGAACTCTCATCATTTCTATAAATATTTCAATTTATTAGGTTGCATTAGTTGTATAAATACGATGAGTTGCATTTGAAACAAACACACACACACTCTCTCTCTCTCTCTATATATATATATATATATATATATATATAGAGAGAGAGAGAGAGAGAGAGGGAGGCACGAGGGTGTTTATTTTATAAACCATGTTATTTACAAATCATATAAAGCAATCTTAAGCTGTTCATCTATCTTAAACTGTTCATCTAGTCAGATAAATATCTATTCTATTTTGTTTCCTAATATAAAATCATAATCATATTGAATCAACTTATCATCTTTTATATATATCTCAATCATAATTAATAAATCATGATAATTTTCTATAAATATCTCGAATATTTCCTAATATAAGCATTGATTATGGCTTGTAATATAAATCACCTCTACCTATACATACACACTCATAAGTGTGGATAACAGTTGAGTGCTGAATTTTTAAAGGTATAAATTTTTATGTGCACATTTAAAGCTGCACAATCTTTCACAAACCTCCCATGCTTCGAAGATAATATTAAAATTAAATATTTTTAAATTTTAAATTACATTTTATATCCTTAAAACTAGTTATTTAATTCACTTTATATCGTTATTTTTTTCCATTCTCGATTTTACACATTTATCATATTAATATAAATGATGGCATATGAACTAAATTATATTGAAAAATATGTTTTTTTTATAAATTACATCATTATAACTGCCTCATCAATACCATCAAAATGAGCTCAATATTATTTTTTTTTTTGTTTTAATCATATTATTAAATAACATAAATACGTAGTGAATTATTTTTAAAACTTAAATTGTGTGTGTGTATATATATATATATATACTAGAAGGGTACTCGTGCAATGCATCGAGACACATTTCCGTTTCAACATTTCGTTTTATTTTTTATTCATGTCGATATAATATGATTTTATGTGGTTTTAAGAAAGCGATAATGCTTATATTTTGAATAAAATATAAATTTGAAAATATCGTATAAAATTTACAAATAATATATCAATATTAGTATCAAATTAACAATTTAAAAGTTCTTGTTTGTGTATTTTTTTAATTCAATTTTTTTATTATAATTTAATTTAACGTAACGAAGTAACTTAATTTAGGTTTAATAATATTTTTTTATAAAAATAATAATTAAGTATTCTGTTAGAACTCAATAATTATCCTAATTATATTTTAAAAAGAGATATTTATCATCTATTTGATTATGTTTATCTATAGTTAGTTATACGAATTCAAACATAGACTTTAATAAGTTGTACTTATGCACAATTTACTTGTAATCTCAAATTTTAAGTAATATGCATCAATAAACAGTACTTTATACATAAAAAAATGTTTTTAAGAATTTTTTGTCAAATAAGAGTTTTTGTCAAATACTTTATAATATAGTATAGATTACAGATGATTGCAAAATTTAAAATTTAAAAGGCCTTTTGTGGCCCATTTTAACCAAACGAATTAAAATAATTTTGTTTAATAAAATATTTTATAGTCTTTCTTAAGTAATATTCCAATATGCTTTATATAAATTTCCATTAATTATAGCAAAAAAATATTCAATTTTAAAACATTTGGAAATTTTCAAAAATTGTTATTTATGTTGACTTGTTTTGTCGTATTCTCGGGTCAAATCTTAACGTATTTTAATTCTGATATTCAATTTTTATTAAAAAATATGAAATCATCGTAATACGTCATTGAATAAATTCTTTTGTTATGATAGATCGGTGTTGGCCCATAGTAAAAATTGATAGTATTTTATGATTTAATTGAAAACAGAAAAACAAATGTGAATTCTAAATACAAAATAAAAATTAGTAGTAAATGAATTTTAACGATACTGATATAAGTCATATTTTCAAGCAGAAGATTATCGATATAGAAAAAGTAATATGATTTAGAAGTTTTGAAAAAGGAATTAAAATGTGTTATTTAAACGACCGTTTTTATGAGGTCTAGAAAAGCATCCAATGTGGGTAATGGAGAACTTACCTTTTGGAGTATAGTTGTCTGTAATACGACACAAATTTAAGGGTTAAGGGTTATTTTTTTTAAAGTTTTTAAATATGATTAAAATGGTGCTCGCATAATATAGAGATATATATCTTAATTTTAATGTTTTGTTTTATTATTTATTCATGTAGATATAATACGATTTTTAGTGGTTTTCAAAATGCGATAATGTTTTTATTTTTTAATAAAATATAAATTTAAATATATCATAAAAATTTGGAAAAATATATATATTGATATTAGTATCAAATTTACTATTTAAAGTTCTGATTTTTGTA